AGTCTGAAGTAGGATGACGTATCCGAACAATCAGGGATAAAAAGGCTGTGATAGGCAGGCAGAAGCAGATGTTCCATGAAGATGTCTTTTGAGAGACAAGCAGTGGCAATATATTGCCATGCTACTTGATTTGAGTCATTACACCCAAGACACATAGCAACTGGAACCAATGAGGAACAAGGAGGGATAAAGGGGTGATACAACCGTTAATGCTAGAAAGCAAGTATTGTACTGGATTTCAAACATCTAAAACCTTGCTAATTTACTAAGTGTTTCATTGAATCTGGTCTCTGTTATGTCACAGCCATCGCTCGCAATCTTTAAGAATTCTTGGAGAAGAGATGTGATGTGAGAAGAAAAGAGATAAGTAAAAGCTGTCTCATCTTCAAGGAGTTGGGGGGAGAGGGGAAAGTAGACTGAGAAAACAGTCAGGCTGAAATAAGCATGAGGCAAACTTCTACAACAGACAACAACATTACATGATCAATCTATGAGCATCTTGAGAATCAGCCTATAAGCATCTGAGGATCTTCCATCTATTCACATTGGAAGTATAAAAAACATACAATATCTTGTGATTGTTATGCCTTCACTGCTAGCAATCCAAATGGATTTGTCAGGAATAAGTCCTAGCAAATGAGAGTAATTTTCTCTTTTGTTAATATTTCTAGTTTAGTAAATCAGGGCAATGCCACAGGTAGAATATTCCTTGATATCAGCAAAGCATCTGACAAGGATTCCACTGAGATCCTTCTTGAGAAGATGGGAAAACATGGATTGGATGCTACTGCTATTATGTGGATAAACTCTGGGACAACCGTACGCAAGTACGAATGAAAAAATTTCCCAACAGTGAGAGTGGTTCAGTGACAAAACACATTGAAAAAAATGGGATCTCAAGTTTAAACAGAGGGTGAGCAGCCCTTTAAAAAAAGTGTTGTAACATCTTGTATTGCAAAACATGAACGAAGCAGGAAAGCTGGACTAGATGATCTCCAGACTCCCTTCCAGCTGTACAAGTCTATGATCAACAAACTCGGAATTAAGTGGCAGCAGAGGTAAGTCCTCGTGGCCTTCAAGTGGCCAGGATAACCTACAAAGATCACAGTCTTCAGATGAAAATTCAAGAAAGTAAGATTGGGGAAAAAACAGAACTTGTGGAAGACTGAAGTTGCAAGGCATATTATGATATGAATTCTTTCTCTAAATTTCCTCAACTCTTTCCCCACCTTTCAACAACAGCAACCTCTACATCTCTGGCACAGTCACATCAACACCACCTCCCTCAGAAAGGAACCCCACAGTCTCCAAGACAAGCCAAAATAGCTCCCTCACCAATTTTACATCAAGCTGAAAAAGAAAGGACCACAGGCTACAAACTGTATGAAATTGGAAAAGGTATTCCTGGGCTGAGGTGCCATGTGATCTTCCACAAGAAGCAATGCCAGAAGGACTCCCAGACTGTAAATACACTGAAGTGGAAGAAATATCAATAACAACTGCCACTTTCACCTCCTCCGGACCAGGAGGACTCCTAACCTTGTCCACTTCTTTCCATTTGGGTTCAATTCCATTTTCTTTGATCCAGTTGATCACACCACTCCTACTCCCTAAGCACTAACTGAGAATCAACACTGGCAGCTGAAAATGAAAGAGTCGGGCTTCATCAACACGTTGATTATATTAAACCCCAAACCTCTGAATAATCTTTCCCAGTGACTCTACAGGGATATCGAGTAGGAGTAAAAATGCTGTTGTACCCTGTGGGAACCCAGAGGACAGCTCCAAAGCAACAAATCTCCCATTACCATTCTGCTAGTGGTTTGATAAAAAGAGACTGTAAAGCAGAAACAGTCTTATTCAGGTATTTTCAGATGAAGAGAGCCTTTGCCATTTCTGGAGACTGGCTAAAAACAAAACTGCACACCCATTTTGGCAGCTCAATTAAAAGTCTTTTTGAGACTGAAATTTTAATAGACAAGGACAAATGCAATTAGTGAGACTAAGAGCACAAAATTAAGCTGTACTTTAGCGTGACATGAATCTTCATGCTTGCATGCGACTCCCCCATTTTCTCCCATTCAAGGAGTTGCTTCCACTTCAGCATAAACCAGTTTGTCATTATATCTCTATGGATCTACTCTAATACACAGCCCCCAATTTCCCACCCTCAATTACATATAATAAGAGAAACAAATTAAGAAAATAAGAAAATAAGAAAACAAGAGCCTCGTGGCGCAGTGGTTAAAACGCTGTACTGCAGCTAAAACTGTGCTCACGACCTGGGGTTCAAATCCCAGGTAGCCGGCTCAAGGTTGACTCAGCCTTCCATCCTTCCGAGGTCGGTAAAATGAGTACCCAGCTTGCTGGGGGGGCAATGTGTAGCCTGTATAATTAAAAAATTGTAAACCGCCCGGAGAGTGCTTGTAGCGCTATGGGGCGGTATATAAGTCCAATAAATAAATAAATAAATAAATTCTCTCATTTCCCACTACATCTTTCTTTCTAAAATTAGTGTTCAAAGTCTTCCTCTCCCTCAGAAAAATCTGCTGTGAAATACGACAAGACAGAATGACTACAAAGTTCCCTTGTTTGTCTGTTTTGAAGTCTCCCTCTGGAATCACAAACTTTTAATTGATCTTGTGCTTCAGATGTTCAGAGGAGAATCACAGCTGGCTCACTGTCAAGTTTTCCAAGCATAATATCTTCACCTTGATGCAGGACCATCTCCCCAATACAATCTCGAAAGCTTCACTGCGGAAGGAAAAGCCATTTTCCATCTTTTGAGGTAAGTGGGACTCCCCACACAGTGACTTCCTCAACTAATCAATCCAGGAGGAGTGCCTCTCATTTGGGGGTGAAACTTGCCATACTCCCAAACCAATTGTTCCCTATCAAAAATTATAACTGACAAGGAATAAAATGTAAATCTGAGCAAATGACGTTTCTTGAACAAATTCACTCCATTTTATCTCCTAGCAGCATTTCCCATGGCCCAGATTACCTGGGGAATGTCAGTAACAACATCAATGTGGACAGCTGCAGTTTAACAGCCACAATAACTGGAGCTATGAAATTTTAAGAGATGTAATGTGTTGGTGGCAATTACAGTTATTGATATTTCTAAAATTCATTTAGGTTTTTATTGTAACTTTAGCAACTGCAGGAAATGTATGACTTTAGCTGGGATAAATTGCTACAATCTTAACGTTATTAAAAAACTTGTCTGAATGGATTTAAATTGTGAATCATATTAAAACTTTCAATCAAAATAAATTACTCTTGATGAAAACACTGAATTAAAAATGATTTAATATTGAGTTAAGACAATAGAAAAAAGTTCTCTTTCAATAAAAGAGCAAATATTTTACAAATTAATACATATATTAATTCCTTAGTTCATCTTTCAGAAAGCTTGCAGTTTCTATAGCCAGAGGTACCTGGAGGGGCCTAGAATAGAAAAACATAGTTCTCCTGTGAACATGAAAATATCCTATTGCTTTTCAAGCAGTTTTGGGGCTTCTCCTAAGCAACAACTCAACAATAAGGGCTTGATGAAAACACTGAATTAAAAATGATTTAATATTGAGTTAAGACAATAGAAAAAAAGTTCTCTTTCAATAAAAGAGCAAATATTTTACAAATTAATACATATATTAATTCTTTAGTTCATCTTTCAGAAAGCTTGCAGTTTCTATAGCCAGAGGTACCTGGAGGGGCCTAGAATAGAAAAACATAGTTCTCTGTAAGTCGAGGGTCCACTGTATTGCTTTTCAAGCAGTTTTGGGGGTTCTCCTAAGCAACAACTCAACAATAAGGANAACACAACCTGTAAGAAGTCCAGAGACACAACTTAAGTGCAACTTCCCCTTGTGCTCAATAAGAACCATGCTGCCTCTGGTTCTAGAGGCAATGTATACTAGCACCCACTGATAACTCCATCTTTCATGCATTTGACCAATTCTCTTTCTGCGGAAGTGAACATTCTAGGTTCATTTCTGCAGACCAAAGAAGGGCGCAAAACACAACCTGTAAGAAGTCCAGAGACACAACTTAAGTGCAACTTCCCCTTGTGCTCAATAAGAACCATGCTGCCTCTGGTTCTAGAGGCAATGTATACTAGCACCCACTGATAACTCCATCTTTCATGCATTTGACCAATTCTCTTTCTGCGGAAGTGAACATTCTAGGTTCATTTCTGCAGACCAAAGAAGGGCGCAAAACTGTAAGCAGGCACACCCACAGTAAATTACTTCCTTGGCATAAAAGAACCTATCAAGAAAAACTGAACCCACAAAATAATCTGCCCACAATGACAACCTGTAAGAAGTCCAGAGACACAACCTAAGTGCAACTTCCCCTTGTGCTCCTCAATAAGAACCATGATGCCTCTGGTTCTGGAGGCAATGTATACTAGCACCCACTGATAGCTCCATCTTTCATGCATTTGACCAATTCTCTTTCTGCGGAAGTGAACATTCTAGGTTCATTTCTGCAGACCAAAGAAGGGCGCAAAGCTGTAAGCAGGCACACCCACAGTAAATTATTTCCTTGGCATAAAAGAACCTATCAAGATAAACTGAACCCATAAAATATTCTGAAATGATTCGGTCCCTTAGCATCTGAAATGTACAAAACATACAGTATCAAGTATCTGTCAAGCATCTGCCCTAAAGATCATAATCAAAGTTTATACGTTGCATGTTTCTATTCCCCAACATTCTCTCCCACCCTATGATATTTATAACATCTGATAATACAGTACACATTCCATGTTTGAAGTCCAAAAAACCTTAAAATACAATTCCTTAGATTTTAACACACATGTTCTCCTTTTTGATATAACATTCTGATATAATATGTGTTGAACTGTACTGAACTCAGGGCAGGACTGCAATAAAGTCAGCTGAACTTAAGAGAGTTCTATGATATATTTCAAAGAAATGTGAATCTGATGTACACTCTGAAATTTCCACCATAAAGATTACCTGTGCACTAACCTTAATCTTTGTTTATAGCAATCTTCATCGCCATCATCTTTGTATTTTTTTATCTTCCGTTTCCTAATATCCTCTTCCTCTTCATCAGAGCTCTGGAAACTCTCATCCTCTATATCATCTTTTTGAAATGCTTTTTTAAGTGGTTTCTTCCCCTTCCATGACCGAGGTTTCACATTATAAACAGAAGCCTTATCCTCTGATTGCAATTCCTGTTCCTCCTCCCAACTACTGAACTCTTCGTCAGGCACATATTCAGACTCCTGGCTGTCCTCCTGTTGTTCCTCCCTCTCTAGATCTTTAGATTTAGGAACTCTTAACTTTGCCTGAATATGAAGAACATGGTCCTGAAGCTTTTTCATGCGCTTCCTCAAAGGGTTCTCCATTTTTGAGAGGCTTTTCCTCTTGTTTCCCTTGCCTTTTATGGGACATACTGAAGCACTGGCTTGACCTTCCTCCAAAGGCACTTTCTTCTTGGTCTGCTTACAAAGGGATGGCCTCTTCTTTTCAAACGAGAGCTGTGCTTGATCTGCCAAATATTTTTCAAACCCAGATGTTTCATTCAGCATTATCTGGCGGGGCTTTTTCTCTTGATTTTGGTGTAGTTTTGTTCCAAAAGGAGTCATCTGACCAGTTTTGATAAGTGTCTCCCACTCCGTTTCCTGGACTGGCATAAGCATACTGCCAAGGGATGATGGACCAGGATCTAAGAACAACAAGAACAACAACAAGCTTTATCTTATTTTTATACTTAACAGTAGTTCCCAAAGTCAGGTCCCCAAACATTGTTGGATTTTAGTTCTCAGAGGCCCCACCCAGCATGGCCAATGGTGCTAGGTCTATGTAAAAATATGATCACTGATGCTCAAAATGTGGTACTCTACAGCACAAGCTGTGGGGAACAGAAAGTGATAACTCCAGCTATCATGCACCATATACAATGATACTTTACTGTACACAATCTTCTTTCTACATACAGTATTAACATTTTTGAGTGTTGATTGATAGCATTTCATTGAAAGATGTAATTCAATCCCAGTGTTTGTCAACTGAAACATTTTTCCAGCTCAGCTAATTTGATTAACACTTCCAATTTATTAAGAACAATGCTCTAGTGATTCCACAGTACAGCCATCCCTTCTGAACAGAGCTCAGATTTATGTTCATTTATGAAGACTCCCTCACAAGTACTCAGATAAGCAATTCTGCAGGTGCACAAAATTAAAACTGTTCTAAATCTTTCTTTTTGAAAAATTAACTTTTTTCCCTAAGTGAAATGTTCACAAATAATTTCTGATGAAGACACCAGAGCAAAATGCCACCCCAAGCACGTTACATAATTCCTTACCTCCATCGTCTTCAAATACATCGTCATTTATTTCAACAGGAATTTTTCCACCAAGAATTATTTGAAGGCGCTTTTGCTTTGCCTTGATTTTTTTCAATTGTTGCTCCTGAAATAGTAATAGCGCACGCCATTAAAGCAGAATAGCATGTTCTCAATCTTTCAAAACAGGCAAGACATAATGGGAAAATTAATTGTGTCTTCCATATGATTTCTGAAGCTGATATAAGATTTTCTAGCATCCTGTGGACAAAAATTACCGTATTTTTCGCTCCATAAGACGCACCTCTCCATAAGACGCACCAAATTTTTAGAAGAAAACAGGAAAAAATAATGTTTTCTTCGCTCCATAAGACGCACAGGCTTTCCATCCCCCTGTTTTGTGGGGAAAAGTGTGTCTTATAGTGCGAAAAATACGGTACTTCTTTCCTGAATAATCCACATTTTAACTATAATTCATTATGTACTGTACTTTATATGCTACTTTTCCAGCCTCCCCAGGCACATAAGATACTAACAATAATGAAACAATAATTAAGTCAATAAAATTGGACCTTGACTAGGCCCATTGGGATCAATGAAACTTACAGAGGACTTGACTCACCAAATCCCCACCAATTCCATGAGCCTGCTCTAGCGTAATTTACTGCACTAAGCTACAGATTTCAGCCTATGCTCAGATGCTGCAAACTCAAGGCCATGGCTTCCTTCACTGTCAATCCATTTCTTACAATTTCTTCCTCTTCTCTTGCTGTCTTGAACTCTGACCACCAATATCATCTTTTCCCATGAGTCATCTTCTCATGAGGTTGTCAAAATAAACATCCTCAGTTTAATCATTTTCATTCTAGGGAGTGGATAATTTTATCTAGCACCCACTTTTGGAACCTACCAAAGGGAAGCACTTGAGCCACTTATATTAAACATAAAACCCGTTCACAACATACCAAGATCATCTACATTTTGAAAAGATTTACACTACTTCTTGAAGTTGCTCATACTCAGGTCTTAGCAAGTCTTCCAAGGCAACTATGTTTCACACCGGGAGAGTTATAAGAACATTCAACACAGAGAACAGATTACAAATTTGCACACTCAATAAGTTCAACAGTTGACGCAGAGTCCCAGGTATGCCGGGCCCTGGCTGTTTATGACATTGGAGGTGGGGAGAAAGGTTATAGCCTGATACAAATCCAGGACAAAGAACAAACCAGCTTAATTTGTTCGTTTGTTAATTGAGGCTTGTTGTTTTTTGTCGGAAAGGCAGAAGTCCAATTGTCTCAACTAGATGTTTCATGAGTCCATGAAACTCAGATATGTGCCAACTGTGAAAATCTATCAATTTAGACCTACTCTAGTTGGGATGAACAACTGGATTTAGGCTGATGATTTTTTTTAAGTAATACTCTTATCCTTGGAACATGTTTTTACAGCTTTGACTGCTCCATTCTATATACAAAGAGGCGCAGAATAAGAAAGTCAGGGTAACTGAGGGCTAGAACACGTTTCTTAACAAGAAATAGAATAGATTAGGGTCTAAGAAAAATACAACTACCACCATGAGAGGACAGATGCATTTTACTCAATGGAACACAGTGTGAGAAAAGAGACAGTGCATGTTTTTCTCCCTCTGACAATAAATCTGATTAGTAACAGACTCAAGAAAAGTGTCTGATGTATATGAGATTCAGACGATGTCTAAGATCTGATCCAAACAGGGTCCAACAGATAATTTCTAGTTCTTCCAGAGGCAAAGTGTGCTAAAAAAGATGGAATCTGGATGCAGTCCCAAAGCTTTATGCAAACTGTGGATTTTGGAAAGAAGCAGAGAAACAAATTTAGCTTTGGTGTCTGTCAAAACACTCAAGGTGTTCTGTGTGGATATTTTATGAGGGGCTCTCTAATCTCTATGCTTTGGGTCATGAAGCAATGTAATTTTCACAGTAGTTTAATCTCCTCTTAGGAAGACTTTCAAGCATCTTAATTCCCTTGCCTCTGCACCTATCCTTATGAAAGGTTACAGTTTGCCGTTTTGGTAATACCACTGCAATTTACGCTACTTTCACACAAATCAGCCAAAAACATTAAGGTCTGAGTGGGGCGAGGGAAGCAAAAGAGTCTTCCCCATATTACAGGATTTCCCTTCCACATAAATCACTGCACTTGCACTACTGAAACTTTACAGATTTCTTAAGTGGGCTCACCTTCACACTCTCCATCATTTTCTGAACAATAGTCTACAAACAAGTATACCAGCAAGACATAAGACTGGCTATTAATATTTGTAAAAGTGATGGTTAAGGGAAGTGAGTGAAACACAACATTGCAGAATAAGAGCAAAACTTATTGAGTTTTTATTACAAACCATCACTGGATGCAATGGAGACATTTTCCAACAAATTAATGGTTCAATAAACAGATATAAATTGTTTCTCTGAAGACATGAGAACAGATACAAACTTGTGGAAAATATCATTTTTAGATTGGGTAGATTTCCTGGTGTGCCCTATGACTAATAAAAAATGTAGAATGTAGTAATTTAGAAGGGTTACAACATACAGTTGTACCCAGTGTGGTACAGCAGATAGGATGATTGTGACGGACAGTCCAAAAATCACACCTGTCCATCACATTAGAACCCTGATGTGGGAGCCAATGACAGGACAGGAGGACAGAACCAAGAAAGGGGAAAAAAGGGAGGACAGTTGGAATCAGTTAGTGTGGACAGTTAGAAAAAGTCAGTTAGGGCAGTGGTTCTTAACCTTTGTTACTCGGATGCTTTTGAACTGCAACTCCCAGAAACCCCAGTCAGGACAGCTGGTGGTGAAGGCTTCTGGGAGCTGCAGTCCAAAACTCCTGAGTAACCCAAGGTTAAGAACCAGTGAGTTAGGGAGAAGAAGGAGTGAGGTTTCTGAGAGAGATGCAACGATAGAGATAGAGAATTATTACAAATAAATATACCATAGCTGAATTGAACATAAGTAAACAAGGAGTGATTTAGTGTGGAACATAAAATATCATATTTTAGTGATTGTGATCTAATGAAATTAAACAAAGACTATCTGTGATTCTGAGTTATGCTTTCATACCCTTTAATAAAACTAATTCTGTTATTGACAGCAAGTGTGAACGTAAAGTTCTTTATTTTATTTAACTTATATGCCGCCCACTCTACCCAAAGGTCTCACGGGCTTTACTGTGTGGATAAGAGATATCCACTGGTGGCAGCAAGAGAGAAAGAAGGAACATTGCCAGCATGGACCTGAGTTGAGGGAAACAAAGAGGGACACGGGTTGTATATAACAGTGATGAACTAGGACTCAGGAGGCCTGGGTTTGAATCCCTGCTCCCCCATGAAAACTCATGGGATGGGATGGGGGGGAATAGAACTGGCAAAACCTCTCTTTAAATACCTCACTTACTTTGACAGCTTTATTAGGGTCACTATAAGACGGCCCCAACAAAACAACACACACCTACTCTCCTTATTTGAAAAATAAAATTATTCTTGAAGTCACAACCACAGATGAAATGACATCCTTTTACACTAAAGTTGAATGGAGCTGAAAAGCACAAAAGTGAATTTTTACTCAGTGGCCACCGGTGCTGCCAATGACGCCATTCTACTGCACAGGTGAACTCTGCCCAACAGGATTTCAGCAATTATACTGTCAAAATTAACTTTAATGAAGCTTATCTAAAGCTTATTCCAACATCAGAAACTTACAGATTTAAGGAGGCTTCATAGAGCATACACAGACCCAACAACCTTCCATTACCTTGTTATATTTTTGCCGTTTCACAGAATCTAATTTTCGGTTAATATCTTTATTAGTCGCAGCTTGGGGAGTAAGTTGTTCAATAATGGCATCAATTTGTTTCAGGGAGACTGTACATGACCTAAAAACATAAACTCAATAGTCACCAATGAGAAAATTTAAAAGTTAAATAGAGGCAATTGCATCTTCAAATACTAAGCAATATATAAAACTGATAACCTATTATGGTTTCTTTAAAGTAATAGCTGGTTTTCAAATGCCTGGGAAAACAGGAGATTCATAAACTCTACCAGCATAGCAGTTGTTGCAACTAAAAACTAAAGCCTTTTTATTGTGCAGGGAAACAGATAAAAAGCTTAATTAATGGATTCTCACTCTAAATCTCAACAAGAAACTATTTTAGCTGTATTCCTGTGGTTGCTCTGCACATTCAAAGTTTTATACTACATTGCTCAGTGATAACTCTACTTTTCCATACAAACTAAGTTGTTTTGAAAACATTACCTTAGTCTAACAATCTGAGAAAAATTGGGTACCTCCATTAACTAAATGCTGGGGCAAGGGGACAAAGGAAAGAGTATTACATTATACATCTAGTTCAGTGCAGAATAATTCATGTTAAACAGAATGGCCATGGCCTGAGGATCTCGCCTTTCAACTGAAAGTGATTTAACTATAGGCACAATTCTGCTCTTGCAGAAATTAATGACAAAACATCCACTAATGGAACAGGGTTGAAGCCTAACATTTCAACAGGTGACAGTTTACGTTTTCACTCATAAAGAAAAATGATAAAAAAAACCATAATCCATATGTTCCTTTCTATGGAACTGCAATATCCTCACAATTTCTTATAATACTAAGGACCAGACTTTGATGCAAGATGTTTGGTTCTCAAGCTATTACATAACCACTAGCTTCGTAATACTACATAATCACCACCAGGGTGGATAAAATTAATATAAATCATGATTTAAACAAATCAGCAAGAATCAGATTTTTTAAAATTGGAATCATGACATGAAGTCTACCATGATCCCCACTGAGATTTCTTAACAAAATAAATCAGTAACATTCAACAGACTGAAATCCACTTTGGAAAGTACAGGAGGGATCTTGCAATTCACGTAGTATCCAAAACTTACATTAGATGTGTCCGGATATAGTTTTCAACCCCCAGGATGTCTATAAAAACCTCTAAATAAAAAGTTACTAGTCACCCAACTCACCTCAAGTCATCTAATACATTGTGGTATTCTTTTTCTGCATCAGCAAGTTGCACCTTGTTTGCTTCATTCATTGCACTGTCCACCTGCTGAAGAACCCCTTCTTCCAATACATCCTGATCATACACATCAATTTCCAGGCCCCTGAGTTCATCTGCCCGAGCAGCATTTTCCACAGACTGGATTTTCTGCCTGTCAATGAGCAGAAGTGGTCCCTTTCTGAGTGTCCCAGAAGCATCGCCAGATGATTCTGATAACTTGCTCTCCAAGTCAAGTGCTTCCTGGTCATCACCCATATCACATTCACTAGGAGGCAAATCACTTCCTTGTTTGACTTCCATTGGTTCTGTATTGCCTGGATTACTGTCAGCTTCTGGATAGCCGGAACTGCTGCGAGTAGCACCATCATTCTGATCAGGCACACAGTTTTCTGGGTGAGGTTTCTCAGCCTGCATCTCTGTTCAATATAAGGAGTTGAGAAGTAGCATTTAGGTTCTTTAGCAACCAATAAAGATTACACTTTCAAGTCAGATCTCAATTACAGTATGTTCATTTCCCTAAAGCAGATACCACTCAACTGAAGAACCTAGATCTACTTTAGATCTCTACTGCCTTTCTCCCCACAGGGGACCCAACATTTTAACATTTTAAATGTTTAATATTAACCTCCAATCTCATATAGAGGTTTTAGAAAACTGTGTTCAATAGTTTGGCACACAAACCTTCATTCAATCACAACAGGTTCACAGAGCAGACTTATGCAACACCAACTTTGCACTCCTACTTCCCAAGGAGTATAAAAAACAATCCAGCTATCTCGGTTCTTGGCTAAGAGAATGGCAGAGAATGTGTTGCCCTGTACTAACAGATCACATATTAATGCAGGTTTTATTTGTTAAATATTAATTTTAGCTAACTTAAATTTCACTTATTTCCACGTTTTTGGCTGAAATCCGGCAGTAAGTCAGAACTACAGTTGGACCATTTGAGTCAATGCAAGGTATTGAAGAGGTGGCTCACCAAGTCCCCATTGATCCAATGGATCTTCTCTAGTTGCAACTTACTTCTGGGTTTCTGCCATTGTCTTGGCATCTTCCAAGAGTTGTGGACGATCCCATACACAGGAAGATTGCCTCACAGGTTAGCCTGCCTCTTACAGGAACGAAACACAAAACTCCGACGGATTCATCCAAAATCTGGCTTTCGTGGGAGTAAATCCTACTAAACCCTTGGGACCCAACGAAAAAAGGGGGGGGGAAGCCCTGTGATCCTTGTACACAATCCGAAGGCGGCGGGGAGGAGAAGCCGTTACGAGACCCCCTCCAGAAGCGAACATAAGCCAGCTGCCGACCTGTTCTTTGGGCTCAAGCGACCCCGAGCGCCTCAGCCCAAGATCCAGCCTGGCCGGGACGCAGAGGCCGAAGGAGCCCTACTCGTGAGCCGCAGAGCCCTACCTCGACTTCGCGGGAGCCTCCGATGACAGCCGAGATCCGCAACCCGATTCGACGGCCACCAGGCCAGCGCCCGTTCGCCGCAAGGCAGGCGGAAGAGGGGTGGCTACAACCGGATACGAAGGCCAGGGCCGCAGAGAGAGAGAGAGACACTTCCAGCCGCCTCGTGGCGGATGCCTGGGAAGAAGGATAGGGGAGACCCCGGCTCTCCGATGCCCGGCGAGTCCCTCGTCCGCCTTCCTCCACTCGCAGGCCGCGCGCCAACGGTCACTCTCGCCCGCCGAACGCAGGGAGGCACCAAATCACAGCAGTGCGCATGCGCAGGCAGGGGGTCAACCGCCCGGTGCTTGGTTTCCGTTTGGAATGGTCGAGCTGCCGTTCCGTTGGGCGGCCTGGGCTGCGTTCTAGATTCGGTTCAGTGTTCGGCTTGGTGTGCGGGCCGTTGGGTGGCGTAGAGCAAGGCTTTGTTTAGGGAATGTCTGTGCACTGGCCGTTAAAAGAGAACCTGGAGGGCGGGGTAGGGTTTCTGAGAGTGTATCGACCAGTTTTATTACATCCATAGTACATAATTTTAAACCCTCTGCAATCTTGTGTGTCATAAAGAAAAAGCCTTCTCTCCGGTTTCTTTGTTTTCGAAACTCAGGAGAGGACTTTGGACCGCGGAGGCTACTTTCTCTTAACAGAGATTGATCCTTATCTTTTCCCCTTTCAGGCGGGTCCCGTCATTCGAACCAACGAAGCACTGTCTCCACTACATCACACGAGACTGTGCCATAGAATTGAGGCCCAAGTCCAAGACCTGTTGGACCCTCTTTCCAAAGTTTCTAAGGGGGCATGAATATATTGCCTGTTATTTACAATCTCTTTTTCCATAACGAGACCTTTCAGGTATAACTTATTTTAAATTACAACTTTTTTCACGTTTGGTTTGTTTTAGAACAAGAAGCGTCCTAGCAATTTTTTTTTAAAAAAGCAGTTTAAATTAAACATCCATTCATATTTTTTTTTTAAAAAAGTATCTTTTTAACAACCCTGCTACGATCGCTATATATTGAGTAACATCTTGCTTTGCTTTACAGTAATTTCTGGACTCTAAATATTTGGATAGCTCAGTGGTTTACTGTCTGGCTGCAGAGCCAGAGGTTGGGAGTTTGATTCCCCACTGTGTCAACCTTGCCTCCCTAGGATCCCTTCCAGCCCTCCAGTTCTAAGATGATGGTGATCATCTACTACAATTGTACAGTACAGTTGATAGTTATGTGGTATGTGTTGTGCATAACACATAGTATATTGCTTAGTTGCTTATTACCTCAGTTAGCCCCATGACTGATTACACTGTAAACAATGATCTGTAATTCATGGCTATTGTCTTCTACTCTCAATTCTACCCTTTTCCCCATAGGACTGGCTATAAAGCAAATTTCAGGCAGCACCACAAGAAGGAATATCAATGCAGTGATTGGCTGGTGTCTGAATAATACAGCAAGATTTCAGAGCAGGACTATCGCAACTGTGCTCTTTTCCTGTTTATCTCCTGTTTTATCTTTTGGAGGTTTCAATCCCACCATCTCTTCCTCCTTTTTATTCACCAGAATACATCTCGTCCTACTCCACGGGGGGGGGGGGACAAAAAAGAAAAGGTTCATGCATGTACTTTGAAGTTGAATGTGGTCTGAGAATTAAAGCAGTTCTGCAGAATCAAGAAATAGCTGTGTCTGTTTTCTACCCTGGGTTTCCAAACATAATGGTCAGTATTCTGTCACGTTTTTTACACCACCATAACAATTGGCATCAATATCAGCAGTAAACTGTTACCAATTAGGAAGCTAGCGTAGACATATGTCATTGTGCCCCAAATCATATGAATCCACTTGCAACAGGAGATATCTATACTAACTCCTTAACTTGTGTCAATTTGCTACTAAAATGTATACAGATAACAATATGCTAACTGGTATAGATAAGACTGATTTTGATCAGTGACTTATAGTACAGTACTATTACATAACAATAACAACAGCCACAATGCATTTATTACAGTCATACAACCTGTTCAGATACATGCCAATCTACTTATAAAGAATATGGAAATTTTTAAGAAACTGCTGTTTGTTGTTGTTTAGTTGTCAAGTTGTGTCCGACTCTTCATGACCCCATGGACCAGAGCACGCCAGGCCCTCCTGTCTTCCACTGCCTCCCGGAGTTGGGTCGTCCTCTTTTGTCCCCTTCTCCTCTTGCCTTCACACATTCCCAACTTCAGGGTCTTTTCCAGGGAGAAACTACTTTTACATATAACATTTAAAATTTTTAGAAGTTTTGTTATACACTAGTGCAATGGCAGTGAACCTTTTTGGGCCTGAGTGCCCAAACTGGGGCGGAAAACACAGTGGGCCGCAGTGGCGACCCATCACTTCAGAACCTGAAGTGGCAGTGGCCGAACTGGAAGTAGCGGCAGAAGGGAGAATCCCGGGCACGAAGGTGCCTCAACACCCCACTCTGGATCCAATGCCAGCTGCTCCGGATCCTAGCCTGTCGCCTGTTGAATCATCAGCACCATGGCCGCAGCTGCCTCCTGAGGTTTGGCTGTGTGTGTTGGGGTGGGGGAGTAGCAACCTGGCAACTTATGGTTTCCGTGCCTGAAGAAAGGGCTCTGCATGCCAACTGTGGCATGCATGCCATAGGTTCACCATTGCTGCACTAGTGCAACAAAATCACTAGAGCCTGGAGCCATTCTGACCAGGTTTTATTTGTGTTTTAGGGTTTTGGTAAGCCTCACTGTACGCCTTTCTTAGCAGTGAAGTTGATTTAATAACATTCGGTTGTGGACTATGAGTTATGAGCGTCTGTGACAAACCTCATACTGTGGTTTGAAAGTATGGGAAATAGTTTCATGTATTTTCAGTGTGCCAAGATGCACTGATGTTTTCAAGTAAAACACAAGTCCTTACAGAATTTAACAGATACTGTACTGCTAATCAACTTACTTGTAGTTGTCACTGGCAAAAGTGGGATTTCAGGTCACAATATTCATAAAGCATCTGAATATTTTTAAGCAAGGAGTAGGGTATTAGAGCAGTAACAAAGTAATGAAACTAAGAAATAAAGATAACAGAGAGATAGTTAGGATTTGCATGTTTGACAGGTGACAGTTGCTATTGTTGCAGATGCTGTTGGGGCACTGAACTGCTCCATTATTTATGTAAAATGGAAAGGTTTCTTCAGCAGGAATATTTTAGATTGGTACATCATCATTTATTATATCTTTTCAGATCTCATTTATGCCAACTTTTTCCTACATAAAACTCAACTACTGTACAGGACAGGTATCTCCAGTGAGAAGAAGCAGATTTCTGTTAGGCATTTCTGGCTATTGTGCCTTTAATTAAAAGTTTCCTCCATTCTGAGGAATACCAGTGACTCCAATTACTTTCCATTGAGCAGTGCCTTGTATTTCAACAAACTTAATTTCTACACTCCTATTTAGTTATAATAATTTCCTGTTTTGTAACACAGGAAGATGTCTGCACCAGAGGCTGGAAGCTTTTTTGTTCTAAGGGCACTTGGAAAGTTATACGAAACCAGGATGAAGAATGCCACTAATATGGCAGTCTAAACCTATTTTAATCAGGCTAATACTAGATTCTTGTTATCAGCCTCTCCCAGGCATGTATACTTCCAGATGGAAAGCTTTTAGTGTTTCTAGTCATGGGAATTAATCAACTTTTCCATCTCTCCTAAGATTTTTTGTAGTGTGGGAATAACAAAGATGGCAACCTTGACAATAAAGCAGTGATACAATAAAAGTACTGTGCTATCTGGAAGCACTCCAGGTTTGTAAAACATCCCAGAGTCTCTTTGGTACATAATTCATGTCAGAAAGACACATCGATACACTCATGTGTTTAGATGAAACTCGACGATCCTTAAACAATAATACTGCAGAACAGTGTTCTCTTTCCCCCATTTTTCCAGCCAGAATGTAACTTTGGATTTTATATTTTCTTCATGGTCTCTGTGATTCATACACAGGGGTACCTTTACGCTTGTGCAGATACACTCAGGAATATTCTAGACTAGAGCTTTGCCCTTCCTGTTAACTGATAATACTTGTCCGCCCAACAGTTCACTTCTAAATGCCACCTAGACAACACCCTGAAAGCTTTTGGAGCTATATTTTTCTGAAAAAGTATAAGCAACTACAATTAGTTTCATCGCTACTACTTGCCTCCTCTTCCTCATTTTCTTCTCAAAAAAAATTTCACAATTGTTATTCATAATTTCTGTTTCTTCAGTGTTTATGGCCTCTAAGGGCCCGTTCAAACACTGTATATCTTGAAGCAGCAAGATACTGCTAACCAACAGACACATTAAATGCCTATACTGTTTGGATGAAGGTAATCAAACCTCAAACTGTAAAATCTGCCAGAAGCGTAGAAAAGTGGCATTTAAAAATAGACAATCTCTGCTAATCTTTTCCTGTGGGAGGAATCAAAGCCATGCATTTGATTTGCAAAGAACAAGCCTCAACATTGGCATAGACTTTGTCTATCTGTAAAACTCCATTAAAAAACTAATAATGTGATTTGCTTGCTCAGAGGTGCAAGATACCTAACTAAATAAAACATCAGAATTGGTCCTGACCAATACAAAGCTTCTGAGTCAATACTGTCAAAATACTTACATAGCTGGTTACATCAAAATGATCTAAGGCTTCAATACCAACCTCTTTGATGTCAAAGATAAGGAAGAAGTCCCATAAGGAGAGCCTTCAAAACCTTAAAGAATCAGGAATAAAGGGGAAAACCGCATTGGTAATCATCCACTCTTCTGTACTAAGGAACACTTCCAAATGTAGAGAGACTGAGAAGATTGTTTGTTTGGGTCTGATGTCAGTAGAAACAGGTCCCTCAGACCATGAGCTGCAGATGTCACAAAGATGTGATTCTTGCACCTCTTCTGGTCACAGACAACTACACCACTGAATTCACCAGAGCTTGATAAAACCATTCTGGGCACTCAACACCAAACTTTAAGCAATCAACATTAAACTTCGGGATTCTGATCTTGAGTGGTATTGGGATCCCCAATACCAAGGAAAGACACAGCTAGGGAGAGGTGATATTCCAGGTCACCTACCTTCCAGAGAGAGAGATCAGTCAGTTGGGGTAGACCAATGGTTATTATTTCTTCATCTCATTACCATACTATAGGGGTGCTGACTGGCATGCCCCTATGTCACATTATGAGAGTTTGGCTCAAGAAATATGCTAAGGCAAAATAAATGAAGAGATCAAGATGTCCTTCAGTACTATCAAGTCAAAAGCAGCAAACGATGCTGCAATGTGTTTCTTTGATTTCCTCACGTAAATAGAGGCAATCTCGATCATCTCGATCAAGAAAGAATCATATGAGCATCAAAAGAAGTTTGTCGAGGAACACACAGAGCAGTCATCCACAGTAATACAAAGCGAGGCAGAGACTTCTGACTCACAAGTTGAACAGGTGTATATTTGTTTAACTTCCCCTGATTTTGATATGGGAGTTTCTATGTGGCTATCAGAGGACATAAGAACATATTCTGATATGATGTTGAGAATGGCAAAATCTCTCTAAATAGCATAGGCCATTGCCACCACAAACTGACCCAGAGTTCAAAAAAGTTCAGTGTAACAGGTTACAACTTGTTCAAATACACCTTCTGCTCGTTCGTTCGTTTAGTCGTTTAGTCGTGTCCGACTCTTCATGACCCCATGGACCAGAGCACGCCAGGCCCTCCTATCTTCTACTGCCTCCCGGAGTTGTGTCAAATTTATGTTGGTTGCTTCGCAGACACTGTCCAGCCATCTCATCCTCGGTCGTCCCCTTCTCCTCTTGCCATCACACTTTCCCAACATCAGGGTCTTTTCCAGGGAGTCTTTTCTTCTCATTAGATGGCCAAAGTACTGGAGCCTCAGCTTCAGGATCTGTCCTTCCAGTGAGCACTCAGGGTTGATTTCCTTTAGAATTGATAGGTTTGTTCTCCTTGCAGTCCAGGGGATTCTCTAGAGTCTCCTCCAGCACCACAATTCAAAGGCATCAATTCTTCGGTGGTCTGCTTTCTTTATGGTCCACCTTCTGCACACACTATCAAATCTTGGCAAAAAAACACCTTCCTCTTTGCTTCCTACTTCAAAGAGAATTGAAAATCTATATAAGGTACAGGAGGAAGGAGCATCTTTCCTATTAAAACATTCACAACCAAATTTAGTAATTGTAGAAGCTTCCAATCAAGATTAAAGTGAAGCCATACTTCATGCCAATAAAGAGAATTGTAAAATGGATCTAATGTATAGATGCATTTATTCCACAGCTGCTTTAGGGATCAAGATTGCTAATTATAAGGCTCCAATGGGAGGGTGCCATCTTTTCTTATGGGTGAAAATGCAGCCAGTTTTAATGAGCCTCTCAGAGGATAAAACAACTCTGACATTAACTTTTCAACAAGAAACTCTGTCATCATTATTACAGCAGATCCATTCAGCAAGGCATGCTAGAGGATGCACCACTAAAAACATGTCCACAACAGCTCTTTTAAGAAGATGTGCCTGCTAAAGATCATCAGGTATACTGGAAGGATCCAAAAATTGGAGAGTGGACTTACCTGTTGCCAGAGAAGTCCTTTTTAACACCAAAACCTGATGGAAAGCCTCTGCAAAAAGAGCC